AATGTTAAAATTTAAAAACTTATTAATAAAATTTAAGTAAAATCTGTGGGTAATTAACAATAAACCACTTTTTTCGCAAAATCTATAAAATTCCCTTTTATTTTTCAATAAAATCTGTGCAACAGTTATTATTTTACGCCCTGTATATGACAAAATATTAATAGCTGGAAAAAGGAGTACAAAAGAAGTACAAAACTAAGAAAGGAGTACATTTCCAGATATATATTTTTTTTTGGGAGTACAAGGGAGTACATTACAATAAAAAGGAGTACGTTTACTCCCAAAAGCAGTACGTCTGGCAACCCTATTGCTCTATGTATTTAGTGTAAAACTCTCAGTACTATTAAGTAAAGACTTAATCTAAATTATTTCCCCCGATGAGTAGCATATTACCACTAAATCCATGTTAAATTTCTCTGCATNCTAAATTATTTCCCCGATGAGTAGCATATTACCACTAAATCCATGTTAAATTTCTCTGCATTTTGATCTTCTCATTCCAGGACAGCGCCGAGCACAAAAGCAGGCATAGTGAGATTGACGAAACCAATAAAAATGTAGCAGCAATGTGTCAAATGGACGAATGCACANTTTTGATCTTCTCATTCCAGGACAGCGCCGAGCACAAAAGCAGGCATAGTGAGATTGACGAAACCAATAAAAATGTAGCAGCAATGTGTCAAATGGACGAATGCACAAAATTTTTATATTAACTGATGTAATTTTACTTATACATATTCTTAAATAAACATAAAACCATGAACTAGTGCATACTTACAAATATACATTACAAATTATTTAGTACGAAAGATGTAAAAGAGATCTTAAACATACATATATCATTATTCTACAAAAAAAAATCATGCATTTTCTAAAACAAAGCCTAATTATACACACATATACACGCTTTTGAATATTGTGAACCACAACTTACAAAAAATAATAAAACAAACATCTTTGAAATAAAGATATTAAAACTTTATTCAATCTTCTATTTTAGTAACCTTCTGATATAGTTTTAATTCCATTCATTCATTTATTCCATAAATGTTTAATATAAGTATGTATGTACGTTAAACGAAAATGTACACATCTAAATTTTCATAACCTCTTTTGTATATAAAGCTGTATCTTCCGTTTCCCTAGCCCTTTGAAGTAAATGCCAGGTGTTTTCTATGAGAATGATATTTGCAGAAGATTATGCTAAAAGCGAGTGTTTACAATTCAAGTATGAAGACCGAGCCTAACACATACATATGAATATACATGCTTTCTTGTTTTTCTTGATTTGATCACCGTGTCTCAAAAGAAGTGCTGCATTGCTCCAACGTCAATTTCAGATTGTTTGACTTATGAAACGTTGCGAACAAACTTAAAGGGAATTCTTTTCATACATATTATTTCTTTATGTAAAACCAACTCTTACAGTTGGTAAGTTTCTCCATGCTTACACAAAATTTCGCGACGAGTGTGTGTTTTAGTGTCGAGAGTTGTAGTTCCGCGATCTAGAGCCACCAGAAGACAGGCCACCGTTCGGGAAACCGCCACCAACGCCACTACTACTGCCATATCCACCACCGCCACCGCTGTTGCCTCCCATCAGAGCATTACCACGATAACCGTTACCATATCCAGGACCTGAATTTCCTCCCATACCACCCGAATGAAAAGCGCGACCTCCCCCACCACCACCACCACGTCTATTAGGTCCCATGCTGCTACCACCGCCGCCGCCGCCACCGCCACTTCCTCGGCCCCCACGACTGCGACCACCGCCAGTGCCGGCACTGCGCGCCATGTATTCTAATTCTGGATTTACATTTTGGTTGGCTTCGCGCAGTATGTCTATCAAAGCACGTGCACACTTGGCGTTCTTACGTGTGAAAAATGCATACGATGTTCCTGAGGTATGTTTCCGCCCAGTACGACCGATTCGATGTATATAATCCTCGGACGACTGTGGAAAATCAAAATTAATCACATACTTGATACCATCCACATCCAAACCACGCGCAGCCACGTCTGTTGCAACAAGAATATTCGAGCGACCGCTGCGGAACTCGGTCAACACATTGTCACGATCAACTTGTGATTTATCGCCATGTATTGAGCCTACCCGCACCCCAAAGCCATTTATGAATCTGGACAATTCGTCAACTTTCTTTTTTGTGGCTACAAATATAATGATTTTTCCAGGAGCATGAGATTGATCATAGATATGAGAAAGTAGATCTTTTAATTTTGTGCCCTTGTCGTGTTCGTTGCAAACGTCAACGTATTGGCGTATATTGTGATTAGCGGATAGCTCCAATGAACCGATGTTTACCTGGAAGCACATGTATTGTTAAGTTTTAAATATTATTTATTTATTTATTTATTTATTTATGTAGTCAAATTAAAGATAAATTCAAATACAATTGAAATACAACTCCGAAAAATC